ACCTAACATAAAAAAAAATTAAATACATATTTTGTGAATATAATTGATAGTTTTTAATGCATGAACTTCCAGCCCGGGCCGTACACTAGTCACTACTCACTAATGACCTATGTCGTCTAAATCAGGAAGATATTTTTATTGGGTTTATTTTAATATTATACGAAGATGAAAATATATGTATTATAATATTGTATATCTATTATACGTATCTATGTTCTATATATAATTGTATAACCATCGACTATTGACACAATCTGACTACGCCCATTAGTTAATAAGCATAAAATATGATAAACATATAATAGCCCTTTAAGAGCATGATTTATTTTAGACGAAGGTTGAGTTACTTGAATAGTAGTTGCAGTAGATACAACACGTTTCGATTGCTTGAAGAACGAGCATCACAGTTAAATGTAATTGCTTATTTAAATGTTAAAGTACTTTTGAAAATAAAATAAGGTGATAACATACATAGACTTAAAACTTGTACGGTTACAATATTTTTCTACTCACAACTCACAAGGCGCGGACCGCAAGTAAGTAAATTTATAATGATTCATTCACATACAATGTTATAGTAACAATATAATTAATAATTATTAATTTATAATAAAGTTGAAAACATTTTAGGAATAAGTCACCCTTAGGTAATATAAATATTCATATTATGTACACATTTCATTAAAGTTTTGAGAAGGTAATAAATTATTAAACAAGTATTTCATACATTTTTTAAAAATTTGAAAAAAATTGCATCACCTATTTTGAACAAAATTTACCGATTCACTGAGTCTTACGAACATTACATCATTCAATTAACAAGAACATTTTTAACGATAATTACACATCTTGTCGTAAAAATGTGACATTCCGGAAAACGAATGTTGCGTATTGTCGTGAAGGAATCACGTATTTTCCGCAGAATCCAGGAAGCCGATTGGTGTATGGACCCACCCACGTTCATAGTTTTTAGTTTTTTACAATATATGCAGTTGAAATAATTTAATTATTGTTAGTAATATTCAGTACACGATAAGTCTGAGGCCGGGAATTAACGAGTTAATAAGTTAGAGAAGTTAAGTTAAAAGTAAATTAAATATTAACATAATAGTTTAAAGTTTTAATCAACCAAACTTTTTGCATAATATACGTTAACTTAAGATTAACTTCTAACCTTTCAAGTTTCAATTATAACTGTCACTTTTACATATTATATTATATTAGATACCGCCTATTATACTATACCCGGCACATTGAAGTTTTAAAATTTCAAACATTAAAAAGGTTAAATGAGACGGTAATTTTATTTTAATATTATTTTTAACTAAACATTCAGTAGACTGAATTGAAATCGTATTTTGTGTTTATTCACAAAAGTACAGAAGTATAAAAATTAAACATTTCGATACCAAAGCGGCAGAGCTCCTTTTAATAATATTATACTCAATTGTAATCAAAGAACGACCCTCAATTTCACTTCAAAGTAATAATATGATATATTTTAATATGTTTGGTATTAATAGTTTAATAGAACCTAATGTTACATTTTGAGATCGAAATTCAAAAATAGAGATAGGTAACTATTTATCATCATCAAAAGTAGAGCAACATAATATTAATTAATTTTTAATTAAAAAGTATAAAAAATAAGAATAAATTAATAATTAATCAACAATATTTCTATTTGATATAATATACTGTCTAATTCAATAATTGTTTCATTTCAGGAGAACTTACAAACATGGGTAACATGTTTGTGGGCAGGCGTTCAAAAAAACGTTTTTGGAACCATTTATTTACTAATAGACTATGGCTGGCAATAGTGATTGTACGTATATCTATATATTATAATTTATAGAGTAAAGTTATAAATGTTAAAATTAAAAAGCGAACCTCTTTTCACTTTTGGGGTTTGGTCTTTATAGGTGTATCTATAATAATACATTCATATGCAATTCAGTATAATATGATATTTTATTATTTTTATTTGTTACAACAATCAACATTTAATATTGTGCAATGCATGAAAACCTAATAATAGTTTAAACTTCAAATATGTTAATGTACCTAAATTAAAATAATTGTATATAATTACTTATACATAATATTATATCCTAATTAAAAGTAATAATTGCCCAATTTTCGGAGTTAGTCAAACACATACTACAGATAATAAAACGAACAGTTCTTAAATTATTAATTGAATAACATAAAAATATATATCATTTATATCGATTAATATTTTTAATTTTTAATAAAATAACTGGATAAAGTTAAAACAAATATTTAATTGCGGCCATAATACAAATGTAAAACCTTTTATGTAGGTATATATAGAAGAACCACCAAATAATAATAGTTTATCTTTTGTTGGACGTTGGACTCAGATGAAGATAGAATAATTGATGTAATTTATTTTTAACCTTATTAAACGTACTATCAAATCTCATACGGTTGACATAATATATTAGAACGAACAAAATAAAAACGCATTTTAGATGATAATCCCCTTATATTTTCCCGTTAATATGTGTCGAGACATTTGTATTAGGTACCTACCTATTTATTAATATTAATTATCATGGTACCTAACTTTTGTTTCAAAATAAAAAAAATATGACAACATTTAGATCCCTTATTGTATGACGTATCCATAACTATTAGTTATTACGGTCAAGTATTATTGTATTAATATAGCTAACTAGCTGATCCCGTGCACTTCGTCGGCCGTTAAATGTTCAACTCAATATGACTCAAACTTTGTTCAATTCGTTATTCAATATTCGGTGTATGGTGTTCAAAATTTATCTTATCTTTTCCGTTTCTTTTCCGGAATAAAAATTCTGAATCGCAGCAGTACATTATCAGGTAGGCAATCTACCTGCGGTAGATCGCGGACCCCGTGCTGTTTGTACGGAAGTGTATGATTTAACTCTAAAGTATCAAAGTTATACCAAGTTTATTTTGATATAATAAGGTGGATTAATATAACAAATTTGGTTGCTCGTAAAAAATCGCAACTCTTAAAAAAATTATGATTGTTGAACTCCTTTTGGGTGTAACTTGCTGCGGTAAGTGCCACTCAGCCACCCTGGTAGGCAATGTTCAATAATTCGATTTGATTCAAGCTTGTACCTGATCTGCCCGAATAACCAATGGCAACCAATAATTAATAAATTCTAATTGAGACTGTAACCAATGGCAAATATTAATAAATAAAAATAAAATTTCCAATTTCCATCGTGAATCTCAATGTCCCTGTTTGAGCACCTATTTAAAATGCGAATTTTGGCAAATCATTTCTTATTGCACGGTGAAAATATGAGAAGAACCTCTATTCCAAATTTCAAGTCCGTACGTTGAGTAGTTTTTGAGATACAGCGATCAGTGAGTCAGTGGTATTTGGATTTTATATGTATAGATAACTAATTATTGACTAACATTATCGGACTTTATTTATGCCTAAAACCTGCTCCGTGATATCCTCTTTCATTTAAAAAAAACTGCATGACAATTGGATAAGAAGTTTCGAAGCCAAACCGTAACAAAGATTTCCTCTTTTGCTTGATTTCAGTTTTATATATATAGATAATATAATAAATAAACAATTTAAATAATGCTAAAAATCGAAAGTTTTAAAAAACGTTAAACTAAATAAAAAAGTAAACTTTCATAACGTTAAGTACTAAAGTACCTAGGTACCTACTAATTTTTAAAACAATACCTATCAGAATTTATTATAGAAAAACGGGTACCTAAGTGGATATCGCTCTGCTGTAAAGTATGTTACAAGTGGGTCACTGTATAATGGATTGTATTAAATTTGAATTCAATGATATAATATCATTGTATATGAAAAACGATTCTGAGCGGAGACGATTTGTCAGTCTGGATATTTTATATTGTAAAAATTTTTTACTTGTTTCTATGGTGATAAACTGATAAACAATTATCATTATTATAAATAAGTTAATTAAAAATTGAAATCCTGTTTTTACTACCGGTTTTTCATAATTTGTCTGTGTTTTTTCCCGTGGCATTAAATAACTACCTATTGAGAAAAACGAAAAATGACATTATGTTGAAATCAAAGCACTCCTTCTGGTAGAAATTTTGTATACCGGATAAAAAAAAAAATAAAATAAACACCATTGTAAAACCACTAGCTTTCTTGCTCCTCTCAGAATCTACCTACTATCGGCAAATTATATTTTGTGTTTTAATATAAGCTATAAAATATAAAGTTAATATAATCTGTGCTCTCTCGTAGGTATTTTTATTATATCTTAACTTTTAAGTCAGTTATGAGTAGGTTTGTAAAATATTAATATTTAAAAGTGCTCATATTATATCACTTAAAAATTAAAGTATTGTTAAAAACAACTCTCTTGTGAGAGAACATAGATTTTCTTATCTTTAAGTTTGATTACCATAGGTTAATACTGAATTCACTGTGAAATGTAAGTAAACAAATTTAACAAATAAAACAATACTAAATCGAAACTTCTAAACTCAAATTTGCAATGTTGTCCATTTTTAAGACGGAGACAACATAAGAGGGTGTTACATACTCTCTACATAAATATGTAATATAACATTAATATGTACCTATGTAGTTATGTACTCTTTTTATCCACACATATTATATTGGTTTCTATAGAGCTCAATTATTTTTCAAAATATTTTTTAAGTAAGTATACATTAATTTAACCAAAACATATTTTATTGCTTATGTTTCGTATACTACTAAACTTAAACTATAGTAGGTAGGTAGATTAAAAAAAATAAATACACTAAAACTTCAAAAACATCAAAATTAAGAACAAAAACGTGTAGAAAACAGGTCTGTTAAAACGAAAATGTTAAAAATGATATTTATGATTCACAAAAATATCAAAAATTTTGTTGATAATAAAAACCGAAAATTAAAAACTTTTTTAATTCCTGAACTTGGGTCACTATCATACTATATATAGATGTCAACGATGAAGGGCGGTGGTATGGCAGCAGCGGCGGGATCGACTTCGACGACCGTACCTGAACAAACCACTGTCACTATACGGCCGAACGTGACCGCGGATTGCGTGGCTCGAGACACTTGCACAGAATGCACAGCCGCGGCCCCCGATTGCAGCTGGTCACTGGTGCGACAGTCGTGCAATGACACGGCAGCGACAGAAAAACAACTGCTCGAAGACCCGGGCGACGACGGTCACCACCACCCACCGACTAAGCCGGTGCGAGAAGCCGGGTCGTGTCCTCGGCTCACGGTCTACTACCAGAAAGAAACCAACTTGACCAAGTCGAACCGCACTGTGACCGTGAAGGTGTCTAACGACCCGACTGGCACGTTGAGGGTACTGCTCGAACGGGGAGTGGTATATTGCCACCTGAACGAGATGAAGTACCCTGGTAAAGTAGAAAGTGGCGGGCGGCAGATAACGTGCGAGTCTAATTACTTGGAGTCCGTGAATTCGTCGCTGTTATCGATGGTTTACTTCGCGACCTCCATGAACGGCGTCCCGTTGGCGTTCGACGACAAGAGTGACCACTACTTAGACTTCACGGTGCCCCGGAACGCGTGTGTCACCCAAAACCAGCTGGGGCCAAGTGACGAGTGCAAGGTGTGCCTTTGGGACGACGACGTGTACCGGTACTACTGCCAGTGGTGTCCCAAGAGCAACCCGTGCACCGGATCGTACCAGCAATGCGACGTCCGCCGGCTGGACGACCTTCGTCACGTAGCACAGGTGCAAGACGTTCTGATCAAATGTCCAGAAGTCCGGATCGAGTCCATCTATCCACTGTACGGGTCGTGGGCCGGAGGAACGGAAATAAGGATCGTCATAAGCAATCACCGGACGCTATCCGAGAATAAGGTGACCGTGATCAAGGTGGCCGATAGCCGATGCCTGCTGCCCACCGTGTCCATGGACGGTAAGGCCGTCACGTGCACCATTTCGCCGACCAACACGAGTGTACTGAACCAGGGCCCGGTGGAGGTGACGTATAGGTCGGAGGAGAACAAGTTGTTACCCACTTTCACGCTCCGGTCCAACCAGAGTTTCTACTTCGTTGAGCCGGTAATAACAAGCGTGTGGCCGTTGTGCGGCCCGACCACCGGAGGCACTAAGATCACGATCCGTGGCCGGTTCATGGACGCCGGCAACACTGTTCGTGTGTACATGCGAGAAAACATCACGTGCGAGGTGCAGTCACGGACCACTAACGAGGTGATATGCATAACAGGTGCTAGCAACAGCACGGCCACTAGTGCGGTCCGTATCGAGTTCGACCACTACCTGAACAAGTACGTGCACGATCCTCCATTCGTCTACACGTCCACGCCGGCTTTGGACGGTGGCCAGACGTTCCGGGGCATAGCGTCCGGTGGCACAAGGCTGCCGGTACTTGGCCAGAACTTTGCGTGCATCCACAACCCACTGGTACACGTGTCGTACAATGGCATTCAGTACACGGGTGGGTGCGTGGTGGAAAATAACACGTACTTGCTATGCACGGCGCCGACCATCAACCGGCCCGCACCACACCAGGTGACCGCGCTGAAGTTCGGGTTCCAGGCCGACTATAACAACACTATCGTCAAGATGCAGCCGCCGACCGGCACGCCCGACTACACTCTGTATCCGGACCCGGTGTACATCGACTTTGACACGGATGGACGCACTGTTAACGTCTACGGCCTGAACATGGACCAAGGTTACGACCACGATGCTGACCTGACAGTCCTGTTTCACAATACAGGCGTCGCGTGCAACGTCACGTCCGTGGAGCAAGATCGCATCGTGTGCCGGCCTCCTAAACAACTGTCGTTCAAGGACCACGGCGGTCGTTCGAGCGAAGGCCAATTAATGATCGATGACTACGAAGACGACGAAGACCAATTGCCGGCGGTCCTGGTAAACGACGAGATCATCGTCACCGTTGGCAACCTGGTGTACGAGGTCAAGAGGAAGCCGCAGACCCGCCGGTACAGCAGCCCACTGCGAGTCAATACCATAATCTTCGGTGGCATTGCTTTGGTGTCGCTGATCATCACGATCGTGGCGGCCGTCGTGTACTGCATGAAGATCGCAATGACCATTTCCAATCAGCAGACGGAAATGCGGTCGTTGTGCAAACATCTTAACGGCGCCGACATTGGAACCGGAACCGGAACCGGAACCCAAACCGATAGCAGAGATGACGTCGAGTCGTCTATGCCGCCAACCAAAGACAGATCATAGGAAAACCATATTAATTATTAATATCATGCACGCGGCACGCCATCCATGAAATGGGTCACTTATTCCCGTGATTCTATATATATATATTAGCCATTAGGTACCTATGTCATGCATATAGGTAATGAGTAGGTAAGAATTTAAGATGCGTGCGAGTTATATATAGGTATGATATTGATATCCTTGCATGATTCTCATCCATATCGTCGATAACAAAATATTAAATATTAAATAACAAAAATCACTTCTTTCTGTAATTTATATACCTACAACCTACTATTAGATATATATCGGATATAATATTATATGTGAATATAATAATTATGTGAGTACTTATAGGCATGTAAGATAATATATGATTCTTATTTATTACGTGGATACCAATAGCTGCAGCCTGCAAGGATCGCCGCTGTATAGATATAGGTATTTATGTATATTATGATATATTATGATGTTATAATATAACATGTTCTATACTTCTATACAATATTATTATGATAGATTTTCATAATGTGTGTAAAAAGTAAAATAATATTTTTAACGGTAAAATAATAAATGCAATACCTCATATTTCGGGCTAACTGCGGAATTAATATAATTATGTAGAAGTTAATCTATAGATTGTTGTACATAATATATTTTAATTTTAAATAATTATTATTGTTGGTGATGGATAAATTAAACATTTTTGATACGACATGCGTATTTTATGAAAAGAAGTCAATTAATATAATTGTATAACTTCAAACGGGCCATGAACTAAGATATTATAAACGTATTATATAGAATATAACTACTTACACGAATTACATTAATATTCTTGATAAATCGCGATAAAAGACAATATAATGCCAATGATGGTGAGTCATCGTGTCGACTATCGAGCAATAGAACAATTTGAATATAATAAATAATAGTCTACTATAAAAAAATTTATGGATTATAAAATATTATGATCATTGCTTTTCTGATGTACTGTTTCTTATTCATCAAACTTTCCAATATAGTAAATATTTAAAAAAACGTTGAACTTAAAGCCAAAAATAAATATTTAAACAATTAATTATAATTCCTAGAAACTCGACTTCATTATAGGTAATAATTATATAGGTAATTATTATTAGGTATACCTATATTTTAAGCGGTTGGTAATATTATACGACTACCTAGTAAGAGTAAATAAGTAAATAAAACAATTAATATATTTAAAAATGGATGAGATCTTTAATAATTATTGTAGTACAAGATTCCTTATTAGTTTTTTTAACTAGAAATTTAAGAAAAATATTAGCGAATGGTGGCGCCAGTGGCGAACTGAGGGAAAAAATCAGTCCAGGAAAATCACAGTTCAAGCACCCCTAATTTAGTCACCTATCACCATCATTATTAATTTAAAATTTCATTTTTCTATCCAAATTTCCCCAACATATTATATTATATATTAGATTCTGAACAGTGTATCAATTTTACATGGTTTTATTTTCGTGTCTGTACAAATAAGTAGTCAAAATAATGCTTTGATTTTCAGTATGTTTTCTGGTGGGAAAGTGAATCAAGTTGGAGCATTTCAGAAATAAAAATTGAAAATTCCCAGTTCCCTAGTTTTTTAAAGCGACGGGAAAAACAAAAATACAAAATTTATGATAAACGATAATTTTTACGCAAACACAGTTATCAAAAAAATCCATATTTTTTTTGGTTTAAAATTTTGTAAATTATTTTGAGTTAGAAATTCATCAAAATATTTATTTTTGTATATATGATGTGAAAATTGAACACAAGACTCATTATAAGCTTTCCTACCTTTAAAAAACATAAACCTTAATTGAGTCAAATTAATTTTTATAAGCTTTTGGAGATGACATTTTTACATCGGATATTCACCCCTTTAAATTAACAATTTTTGAACTATGTTCTTATTTGTAATATTATTTTTAATTATTTATTATAAATGAATTATTACAAATTATTTATAACTAAAACTGATGAATGTTGTGGGGTATATTTTGGAATAACTGTGTAAAAAATTAATTTTCTCCCCTGAAAAACAGGAACATAAAAAAGCGCCAAAAGTTCTACAATGATTCTAAAGTGATGAAAAATATTTTTCAAATCCACTCTTTTCTTCAAAAAATTTCTCAAGGCGGAGGTATGGAATAATTAAATTTTATATTAAACATTCGATATGTGAATCAAAATCTGGAATAAAATACATAGTTTAGAACATACCTACCTACGTCGTAAGTAGGTACACTATATTGTGAAAAAAACTCATCTTTTAAGATGGAAACATTGTCAGTTGTTAAAAAAAAATATTTAATTTCTCAATTCAAACATTAAAAAGTAAGTGTGTCATAAAGTATTTTGAAGTAAAGGAAAAATATGACTTAAAATTAATTTAAGGCATAGTTCACATAATATTTTGTGTTACTTTTATCGCTTATCTAGTTTCTAACTTTCGTTTTAACCTTATTAAATTTGAATTTTTATTATTAATTAATAATTTATTACTATAATAAAAAGTAATAATACAAATCAGAATAATGAATTTGAATAGAATAATGTTGCATGGTTTAGCTTTATATTGTAAAGAAATAATGTTTCAACCAAGAATTTAAAAAAAGTTTGAACATAGATAAGGACACATATTTTTATTTAAGTCACTACAAGCAATTAATTAATTAATCATCAAATAAATCATAATAATACAAACAATTTTTAAACTTTAAGCCAAAATTCAAAATATGTGTTTGATAATTTAAATACATATTCATAAGTTTTTAACAAATACAAATGAAATTGAAACTAATTACCTAAGTAAATTATTTTTTATATCAGTTAAGTAACTAAAAATTAAAATTATTTAGAAAAATCTAATTTTATTGTGTTGAATTGTCATGTTTATAATTTATTACATTGTCAGTCGGTAAGATAAAGAATATACCGAATTATAAATAGATCAATAGCAATCAACACTCAACAATATCGTTTTTATCATTGAAAGACATTGTTTATTATATTAAAATCGCATTTATGATCTATATTTGATTTTAAAAACCAAGTATTATTAGTTTCAACTTTTAAGGAAAAATAATTTTAGGTAAAAATTTTAACAATTGAACCATATAGAAAATCAATTATTAATTTAATATCCATAACAAGTATTTATATGGTACATGATATTCACAAATAATTGGTCGCAGATACTAACAAGGTTAAGAATACTTGACTAGAATCGCATGGCGTCAACTAACAATTAAACATTATACAATTTTTAAGGTTTTTAAAAAATATATTTGCATGAAAAAGTAGTAGGTAGAAAGAAGGACATTATGGTTTAATCGTCTTGAATTTCTCCTCCAAATAAACCCATTTTACTCAGTATCCATTTGAATTCATCGTGCAGCACAAGAATTAGAGCTGAACCACTTGATCGAATCATATTAGGCAACATTCCTCGATACAAGCCTGATATACCCTGAGATTTCCATAGTTTAGTAAAACAGTCTCTGGCATTTAGATATAATTTTTCTTCTTGTGCAGTTTGAACAATCAACATTCTGCCAATTGTATCAAGAGGATAGCTGAATAATTGTGACAAGTAAGTGGAAACCTACATAAATTAAATATACAATTTTTTTACTAATATAATATTAACACATTTAAAATTAATTTTATAATGAATATCTAACCTGTGCGGTTCCAAAACGTATCCAAAATGGTAACTTTGTATCTTTTTCGTCAATAGAAACTAGACTATTACTATGATCTAGAATAGTTTTGTTAAAACTATAATAAGCTCCAAAGTAAATAGCTTTGTTTATCACCATTCCATTGGCTGCAATAGCAAATCCTGTACATAAAAATTATTATAATTTATGCTTACATAGGTAAGTAAATCTAATACAATCAATTATTAAGGTTAATTACCAGTATACAAAGCTCGAACACCATTTGTATGAACAGTTTTTTGTATACAATCCAGTAATCCAGTATATTCACGGTCAACCAAGGGTCCAACATGGGCAGCTAAATGAGTTTGACAAAAAAGAAGTGGATAGAACATGCATAATGTGGTTGCACCGGATAATCCGCCAGATATTAGACTCAAAGAAGTATGGCTCCATCCATCATCTTTATGTTTAATATTGCTCAAAAAGAATTTTAGGTAAAATGTGTTAAGTCCAAACATGGTTGCCTGTTGAAATAAAAATACATACAAAATTAAGACATTAATTATCAAATAAGTGATAAATAAAAAAACCGAGTACATATTCTAAGTATCAATTTGCAGACGTTTTAAATATCAGTTGGGAGTATGGTAATTCAATAACTATTCATTGAATTGTGTGAACACTTTTATATTTTTTTACTTATTATACATAATTTTTTAGTAGTTAGAGTAATACTGTTTAAAAATGTCTGATAGATGCAATCACTTCTCACTTTTTGTCAGTTGAACTATAATTTAAGTAATATAGCAATAGTTTTCTAAAATAATTATAGTAATGATATTGTTCTTTTTGTTTTAACATATTAGGCTTTTAGCCATTAACTAAATATGTTGATTGGAAGCAATAATTTGAATAACAATATTTAATTTTTAAATTAACAAAGCAATAAAAGTATTTATAAAGTTTGATAAAAAAATTTAAGCCGCAACATAATATACCTGTGCCATGTACCTTACAACATTGTAACTATCAAAACAATTATAACAAATCAAAATATTAATTGAATTCATGATAGATATTTATAAAATAGTTAAATAAGCTCAAATAAATGTTTAGAATATTAAGATATTATAAATACCTGAGAAGGAACAAATCTCAAAATGTTGGTAAAATTTCCAAACCATAGTGCCCGTAAACCTTGTTCACGATAAATTTGTTTTAATGTTGTTAAGATTCCTGGATGATAATGTTGATTATTTTGACCATTTACGATAGATGTATAATGAACCTAAATAAATTAAAAACATCTATATATACTGAAACGGTTTTACAACTTAGAATTAAAAATGTATTAAAGCATAACTTACCTGTGAAATTATTTTAACCCTATCAAATGGAGCAACAACTGATCGTGCTATCGCTGTGGCAACAGCACTGGACACTGCGTCCAAACCGAATTCATGGAGACTAGAGCGTTCTGTATCTTTCTTCTACAAAATATAAGAGAAATATAAATTAATTTTATAGGATCAGACATTCAGTAGTATATACACAGGTGGGTAGCGTTTGGGTGTTCAATAAAAATGGATGTTTTTCCCATTGAAAAAATGTTGTACACCATAGACCTTATACTGATAGTGGAGCATATAAGGCTGGCGAGATTGGGTAGTGTGGTCACAGTAGTGATATATATATATATATTATACACAGTTTATTGTATCATATAGTGATAGTATCATGTGCGGTGTACTACCTTGATCAGCGCTGTCATGCGTGGATGCCGGAACTACAACCATGATCTGTCTATGAGTATAAAGTTTTTGGTGTACACTAACTACTGTATAAGATAATATGATTAATATGTACCTATATTATATACAATTAGTTATTAGCTACCTATATTTTTTTATATGAAGTGATTTAGGTATTTATTTTTAATAGAAAACACTTAGTTTCAGTCAATTTGTTTTATGTATAACAGGTGGGTATAACAAGTAATAAGTACACTATAGGCTGTAGGTACACACTACACAACCAGGTATACTTATTACTTACTAACACTTTACTTTTGCTGATATTATTTTTATTTAGGCATAACTGAGTATAAGTACTTAATTATTCTTCTGAAAATGTGAATCCTTATTTGCATATTCCTTAAAATTATATAATAAATGCTGTTTATCTTTTTTTTATAATAGGTTAGGTACCTACCCAGTTAGATATTTTGTAATTTTAAAAAATAAAAACTTTTGTTGATTGCATTAATTATTTATCTTGAAGTTATTATCAAAACACACAAAATAACTCAGTTTGAAATCTGATTCTGGGAATTTAAAATGTATATATGTATGTATGTATGTATCTTGAAACAATTAATACAGGCATGAAGTTGATTGACTTTATTATTGATATTTACTTATAACTTGACAGTGTAAACCCAGAAAATAATATAAATAATATCTAAGTAGATAAATTGGTTAAGATTGTAAAGTTTAATTTCAAATTCTACGCTAAAATATATAGGTATTTAGTTCCTTGTCACCACATAAAAATTAGGTTTTGCATCTGCAATGATTGCATACTTACTATAAATAAACATAAGATTAATGATTGAGTAATAAATATTAAAGTTAAACAATAAGTGTAAACACTAGGCAATTAAAGTTGAAAAATGTCAATGAATGACCTCCAAATATGTAATTTAATACAGTAGCTAGGAAATGTATTTCTCATAATACACAAGTAGTAGGTACACAGGTACATAATAGTCAATAGATATTTCACATAAATTATGCTACATACATAGGTAAACCAAATATTTTTATTTTTATTTCATCCCTGATTTTTAAAGAACACTTTAAGAATCAACATTCAAAAACCCTTTACATAATAAGGTGCAACCTATATTAAAAATTTACCTACATTAGAGCATTAGAACATTAATAAGGTTCAAGGAAAACCTGATTTTAAGTTATATGCTTTTACAGCAAAGGGTTATTTATTTCAAAAATATTAATTATGTGTGTACGCTTTGATGGAAACAAACATGTAAAACAGAAATTTGTGGCCATCTTATTATTCACAAACCCCTTGTACCTACCTAATATTAACTACCTGTAGGCGCTTTACACATAACTTGTATGAACAGATTATAGATAGGTACTCACTAAATCCGTAATTTAGCCTTTACGTAAACCAGTGATCGCAAATAATGCGCAGACTTGGAATTTGGATGTCTATGTCGTTGTACTGGAGTTGGCTACAGTCCATTTCTTAGTAAATGTCCCCAAACGGGTACATTTCTGAATTGTTATTCGACAAAGAACAATGGCTGTAGGCAGTGGTAGTAGGTGTCGCTGGTTGAGGTGATATATTACAATATTATTATTGTTAAGATGTTTGAATAATGTTTCGCAAAGGCTATGGATATTAATTATTTTCAGGAACGTGGTTTGTGCGATGGAATAGTAAGGCAATAAATGAGACGACACGATTCGGTCAGGCGCGGGAGATCGAACGAGTATTGAAAATGGCAGTCGCGTTTTACGTTTCAGTATAATTTAAATAAAAATTTTAAAGAAATTCGTTGCTCAACGACGACTCGTGCGACACACATTCGGCAACGAAGGTCGTCGTTATTTATAAAACCGTTTCTCCCTCCACGGTTAGAACTAAACAGTAGAGACACGTACGCCTGCAATGGTCACTGCCGGTCATCCTAATATATAAAATGACAAGGAAATCAGCTGTCTACAAGCAACCCGTGGAACAGAAAACGCAGTTATAGTGAAACCGTGGAGTAAGAAATGAAGCACCGCTCCGTTTCCCCAGCCCGCCGGCCATGTCCCGTCGATTCCTTATAGCGCGACCAATCGCGTACCTTCGCAGCGGCGGCGGTCGGTTTTAAAAAGTTTTTCGTTATCACCTCTTTTCCTATCATTCGCCGATTTTTGAAGCTGTTTTTACACGATTTCGACCCTTTTGGTCCTTTTTTATACTTAATTCGAAGCCGCCGGTGTGCGGTTTATATTCGTGCGCCGTCCGAAGCGGTCGCAATATTGATCGAAAAATACACTCCCGACCGTACTTTTTTGCCGATTTTTTCCTTTTCTCCCACCGTTTCGTCTATTCGCACGCCGTTTGTGCCCGAATCGTGTAGTCGACGTCTTTTTAAAGCCGTTTATATGGGCTTTTCCACCGAAATCAGTTCGTTCGCCTCGCAATCGCGTTTATAAATTACGCCGTCGACGGACCGACCGTACGCGTATACATGTATATACGGGTATAATTCAATTTTTCCCTATGATTTAATAATTATTAACGGAAAACGCTTTTCACACGCCCCGTTAAATATATTTATGGGAGATGCGAGTATTACAAGCAAATTATATGCGATTACATCGATGATAATCGAATATATCGGTTTACGTCGCACCGTAGACGCACGGCTTAAGAGTTGATGTTTTGACTGTATTTCATATCTCAAACTGTGTCCGAGTAGTCTAGGCGTTAGGTAGGAAACACTAGGTCCCGAGTTCAAATCCGTCGTTCGCTCTCCGGGCGTCGAAAACGTAAGTGCCATATGGTTTACACGGCCGCCCGAATCCCGATTTTTTTTGCATTTTTTTTTCACTATATTTTTCGTATAAATTAAATAATATAATAATAATACAGGAACATTATTATTATTTAAAGTCATTGCCATATTATATCACACAATAAATAGGTACATATTATATTTGTTTTATTAGGAATTATTAAAATTGCATATTTTTTCAAAATGTCCATGATTGTTATACAAATATAGTTTGTATTTTATTTCGGATTGCCTACCTAGGTGGCTAACTTGAAAGTTAATCTTGATTTTGACTTGGCATAACTGACTTGCTAGACAATCCAACACGGTTTTCGACTTAACACTTTTTACATAAGAAAAGGCACCGGGCATGCGAAGGCACATACCACTAGATGTGATATACCTACTATATATAGGTGATAGACGGATTGCTCATTTTAGTTTCGTCTTAAACGGTGATGATTGACTTGATAGACACTTTAACATGCAGGTTTTTGCATTTTTTTTTAAATTAATATATATACACTATAGTTACATGTTTATATGTATTGTATATTTGTATTGGTTAATATGATAGCATGTATCTAACTATCTACCTTTATGTTAATTTTTTTTTAGGAATTATAATTGCACATTTCTTAAAATGTTCATTGTTATATTATATCACACAATAAATACATATTATATTTGTTTGTATGTATATTGTATATAGTTTGAATTTTTCGTAAATTATTTCGTAAGTTGTGTGATAGGGTTTTCACTTATAGCCGCTTGATGTCGGGTCCGCAATCCACCGCAGGTGGATTGCCTACCTAATTTGCTGTAGCACATTGTCCGTGATCCGACGAAGTCGGATTGCCTACCTAAGTGGCTAACTTGAAAGTTAATAGATTTTGACTTGAGATGACTGACTTGCTAGAAACTCCAACAAGGTTTTCGACTTTACATTTTTTACATAAGATAAAGCACCGGTCATGCTACGGCACATACAACTCTATGTGCAGGTATACTCTATATAGGTGATCCTGGATATCATATAAAGCCTATCCATTTATAACGTTTGTGACGGATTGCTAGACGCTCAAACTCTTAACATTCCCGCCAAAGCGTCTAGCCTTATCTCCAATCCATAACACTAATCCTTATCACAAGTCCTAAACTTTCGTCTTACAACCTTTGCGACTTTTTTAATTCATTGTCTCCAAAATCGGTACCCACTCCCAGCGAGTCCAACGGGCCCCGAGTTACACTTAGAGCTAGTAGTAAAATAATATAAATTATAATATTATTATTATTATTATCTACAATGACATGATAAAAAAAAGAACTAAAAAATTCGAAATATAGTAAAGGCAAGCTAATTCTTACGAGTTACGACACTTTTTCATAATATCATAAATCATAATATTCATTAATATTTACTACAACAACAACAACAACAACAACTACTACAGTCAACAACCAGTGGCGAGTAGCAGGCGGCAGCTGCTGCCGTAGCTCTATAAGCTATACAATCTGAAATCTCAATATTCTCCAATCTCCACTTCACGCCTACTGACAGTTGTAGTGGTATAGACTGGTGTAGTGGTGTCTGGTACTCTGGTACTGTCCAGTGTTCGGTGGTACTGCCAGTTGGTGCCGTACCCACGATTTAAGATGGTATCTTAAATCGTAGCCGTACCATTGAACTGGTGTAGTGGTGTACTGTAGTCTTATCAATAACAAAAAGTTATAAATTATCAAAACTCCAAAGACTATTTAAGACTCAGTGTTGTCACCGTCCAAAAATATATATAAAAAATATTCATAATATTTATGTATTTTTTAAATATTATATCTGTGTAGCTGCCTCACCGCCCGCCGGTTTGAGAGTGAAATAGTGAATACTGATTACTGAATACTGATTTTACTGAATAGTTAATGCCAATTGCCACTATGGTAGTGGCGTAATTTGCCCCCCCCCTTGTCATTAGCGAACCGCTGTCTGGTCGGGTATGGGCTAGTTTTAGGCCTTCATATTATCTACATCGTGGTTCTGTGGTACAAGAGGGCCATATATATCCTGAATTACACAAAAAGAATAATAAATAATAAATATTTCTATATAAAGTCATCGATAAAAACCGTGATGATTGAGGAAATCGAAAAAATAATCACCAAAGTACATCTTATTGTACATCTTAAAATACTATAATCTCACTTTAAAATTAAAGTATAATAAAAATCCTATGATATTGCCTAGAATATAATCTTATCTTTAAATGTTATAAGAGGGCAATTCACTCTAATTCTTAAACTAACGTGATCTGCTGAGCGTAACATTTTTGGTTTTTTTAAATAAGAATTTTTATTTTTTATATTAAAAATTAGTTAAATATTTATAATATAAATATAGTTATTATAATTATTATATTACTGTGTAAGTGTTTTTGTGGACACACAGTATATTATTTACCATTTCCACTTCATGAAATGGACAACTTTTCATGAATATATCGATTTCGTATGCGAGTAGTTATCCTGTTTCCGATCAGACATCAAAATGATATTCTAATAAATAAATAATATTTTTGACTGTTAAAAGTATCCAACTGTTGCTTTAATTTTACAGTAAAATCTAGACAAATATGTTACTTGCAGCCGTAACAAATTACTAACAATTACCTCCCACCAGGACCGTCTCAAGCGAAAATAGTGAACTAGGCGAAATCAAATTTTGCCGCCCCTAATTATATAATATTATCAGTATTTTGAAAATGCCGCCCTCTTACTAAAGTGATGCTTATGTGCCGCCCTAGGCGTGGGCCTATGTCGCCTACCCCTTGAGCCGGGTCTGCCTCCCACTATAAGTATAAATAATTTTACTGTTATTACTTTTCTCGTTAAGATAACGTTTTCACTTATAATTATAAAACTTATAATTGTAGTATAATACATGTTATTTACATATTAATACTTTAGTTGAAAAATCATTTAAGATGTTGGGATTCATAAATAGAAATACTCAAATACGATTGTTTTAAAAATATTAACTCATTCAAAACATTTTCTTCGTCACTTTTGAAAACTACTATTTCAACTACTTATCAGTTATCGTGTATACTGCATATAAACACAAATAAAAATCAATAAATTGATCGCTTCGCTCAGAATCTAATAATATGTATGAAATACAATAATAAATTATAATGTCATAATTATAATATTATTGTCATTAGTAATTATTAATTAGGTATTAGAAAAATTTGGTAATATAAATGGTCAGTTAATAAAATTATGAATGTGCAATAAGGCCATATCTTGAATATTTATTGTTTTTATAGTATATTTATTTCTGGTAAGTTTAAGCTTTTAGAAGGATATCATCAAAAGCTTACAAGAATTTTTGGAATAATATTTATTATACTCATATAGTTATTTGTAGCTGAAGATAACTTACTAATTATTGTAATTTATAAGCTATTGATTATTAAAAATCTTTCTCCTGGACAATTTACCATTATTTATTTAAGGCCCTTTTGTACTGGCGGTATAGGTTCATACATTTTCTTTATGGTTCGAATTTAAATGTTTACTTACGTTCTCCAAATCGGAGCAATAGAAATATCTAAAAATCAAAACAATATGCCCAAAGAATATTGAAATACTAGTTTGCGGAAAACGTATAAAATATGAATACGCCAATCCGTATTTATATTTCGACCCGTGAGAACTGAGAACGGTTTGTCCGTTGTCGGGTTTTCGTTTGCCGTTCGCGGGGTTTCACAACGTCTTTGTGGCGCCGCGAACGCGCAACCAGCTGGTCACAAAACGGATCGATTAGTGTTATCACGGTGTGTTGTCTATGATGGTGAGCTGCTCACTGCAGGCTGGCTGTTATTGATGATGTACGAAGTGCGGATAACAAAAGGTACGAGTTATTGACAACTGACAAGTGACAACATACCGTCTCGTTGCTCGGTGTGTTTCCTGTATAGTCCTGTGCGATATTCGGCATTTCAGCCAGTCGTGTTCGTATCTCCGATCCGCCAAAAAGCGATACGCCGCGTGTGGCGTGTGTGTGTTCGATCCAGTTTTTATTGTCGTTCGTCTGCCCGCCCTCACGTGCTCGTCGTCCTGATCGAAGGACCCGGGATCCCGTCCTCGAGAAACGTCCGCCGCCTCCGCCGATGACGACTTGACGGGTACGCGACTCACCGAAATTGGCATGTCGCTTGACACCGACGGTTGTCCGCAGCAGAAAGAGTACGATTACCTGCTGAAGTTCCTCTTGGTCGGCGACAGTGATGTGGGTAAACAAGAAATGCTCAACGATCTGGAGGACGGATCATCCGAGTCACCATATTGCAGCGGAAGTGGTAATGATGTTAACCCATTTCTAACGATGGTGTCCAAATCGTTATACATAATATAAATCCATAATTTAACATGAAAAGCATATTTTTTGTACAATACTACTAACTCTACGTACCTATATCATATTTTGCTGGAATGACCAGCTACTGAATCCCAATCCTTTTAGTCTACCCATATTTTCCAGTATATTTTTGTTTAAAAAAGGATTGTTTCTAACCGTATAATATAATCTTCTCTATTAACATATTTTTGATAATATCTTTAGGTAGGTACATTCATTGTGCCTACCAAATTACCTATGGGTAGTTACTTTGTTAAAATAAACCAGATTGTAACACATTCTATTTGTAATAATTCAATTTATAATACTAGGTAGGTACTCCGGTTCCTATCTAAAATGATATAAAAGTCAATCGAAACTTTTATTTTATTTATTGTTATTGTATTAACGGCTTGTAGGTATGTCTAAACATGAAGCATGTATAAAATTACAAAACTTTAAACTTTACTAGGTCCCTAGGTCCCTATGGAAATTAAACTTTTCAAGATAAGATAATCTAGGGTCATATAATTTCATCAAGTAAATCCGAGACACAGAAAAAAAAATAAAAATATTATTGCGTTATATTAGGTACCTATGTATTAAAAAACAGTGTAATGGCACATTATTTTATACACCCATTTTACCATGCAAAAATAATAAAAATATTGTTCGATATTGTATTTATTGTTAAATAAATTATAAATTATAAAATTAATGCTTTTTTTAGTTATCAAAAATATTATGTATCAAATTAATTTTTACCTCTTATTATAAAAATACATGTTTCAGAAAACTTATCATTTTTAAGTGCCATAATGACTAAAATTAAAATATTGAAAACTTAGAATACCCTACAATTATAGAGTATTACTGATGTAGGTACCTACGCACTTAGTGTGCTACTGATAATTGATATAACAGATTATAGTCTAATAGTCATTAGAAGGGTCATTAGTCTGTAATACTTTGTCAAATTTCGGTAAAATATGAAATTAAAACATGTAAACTGGTCAGTGACAGTAAATTCCAGTATGTTAATTTTGTTTTCACAATCTAGATTTTAAGGAAGTAAGAGAGTCATTAATTATTATGTTCAATTGTTCTGTTTACAGCATACAAAACTACAATTATACTCTTGGATGGTAAACGAGTAAAATTGCAACTGTGGGATGCATCAGGTCAAGGGCGTTTATGCACAATAATCAGATCTTATTCAAGAGGAGCACAAGGTGTTTTGTTAGTTTATGACATAACTAATAAATGGTCATTTGATGGGTTAGACCGATGGTTAAAAGAAGTTGAAGAGGTATGTATGGTAATTTATTTGTAATAGATATCTATTACAAATGTTATAATCAAAAACTAGGAAATGTAGTTGGTAATAACCGGATTTATATTCTCTTACAATTCCTAAAATATGATGCTAATATTCTCTAAAAAATCTTTAAATATTCTCATTATATTATCTTAAAAATTTTAAAAATATTCAAAAATCATCAATAAACATCAATAAACATCATTATTTGTTTAAATATGCATTTAAAATTTTTTTTTTTCAACATTATTTTAATATTGAGGCATTAATAAGGTATTAAAAGTTGCATATTCTAATGGAATACTATTGCACTTGAGTAGGTATAAGTTGGAAATAATAAAAAAATAAAAAAAATAAATACAAATTTTTTCTCACAATTTACGAAATATTCCAAAATATGCTAAATGTGTTAAATATTCTGTAACCCATAAAATATTCTCAAATACCAATGCAAAAAAAAACTTTTACGCATTTGGAATTGAACAAATCGTCCACATTTTTTACTCTCATAAGACTGCATAGACCCAATAACGATATGTAAAAACCACGGTTATCTACACTGTGTAGATAACCGTGGTAAAAACATATAAATCCGTATTTAACCCTATGCCCAATTTTAGCCTTTAGGACAACTTCTAGGAGCTCTGTGTTATACAGATGATACTAAATCTAATTAGGATTACTCAGTATTACAAATTCATTAAGATATTTTTATTATTTTACACTCTGAAATTTGTTTCAAGTGCATAGCCACATAGGTAACTTCAGGGGTGTGCCTAGAAATTTTTTTTTTTGGGGGGGGGGTCAATATTTTTACCAGCACGTATTTCCAAACAGCACTAATTATTAATATTTTGTATTTACACATTAAAGGCTCGGTCAAACACAAAGCGGTCTGCCCGTGCGGGCACTGTGAAATAATACAACCGACCTCTGCCCGCCGCGGTCAGCGTACCCGTACGCCATGGCAGCCCGCCGCTCTCTGTTTGACTGAGCCTTAAAATGTTGGTTTTAATTAGATATCTACCTAGGTATATTATTATTTTGAATTAATATAATAAACATTTTTTCATTTAAATTTAATAAAAATAGTACCTACCTATTAACCTAACTATACATTTATATTAATTTATTTTCATTATAATTTGAAAAAGTATTTTCAAATATTAATATTTTTATTTTTACTCTTAAACTATTTGTATAGTTTGATTAGCCTTTTAAGATTTACAATAAAAAGTATCGATCCATATCCATACCTGGTAATCCCCAAAAGAGATTACAAAGACCAGCGGTGTTGTAACCTGCTCACATGAGTATATAATTCACTAGCTATTATGTAAATGGAAGTGCCTATGAGTTTACTATAATTATCTATTGACAAAGTACCTCCTCTTGGAGGTCTCTTCACTCTGTGTTTCCTGTGTGTATTAATATTATTACCAATTAAGGTTATTGTTCTACTATTGTACCTAACAGATTGCCTAATAAATATTATGATTAAAAAAAATATATATATTTAGTATATTACATCATGTACCATATATTTAATTATACGATTAAATATTTTTGAATACCTATAATAAAAAAAAAAAAAAACATGTTTATCTCATTTAATATACCTACATAATAACTCTATAAGCAACGGTGTAACAACAAATTGTATTTATTAAATCGTTCACTTATCTAATTAAAGAAAATCACAGTCATAATTAACTATGTTTAAAAAGGTGTATAAGTAACATTAGTTAAATATGATAAGACTCGCCTAGTTTTGGAATTAGTTTTCTCGTAGGTATTTTTAGAACATTAAAGTATTATTAATGATAACTAGAATTAAATAAATTATATAATATTTTAACATGCATAATTGAACTTTTGATACTAGTAACTTGGAAATGAATACTATCAAGATAAACTGAAAAATCATCTACAATAACAATTTAAAGTGATTCATACATATGTAATATAACACAATATTAGGTGCAGAGTTAACAAATAAACAAATTAAGTAGATTATAGAATTTTTTATTAGCTTCTAGTATCAAGACTATGCTAATCAACAATAATGTGTATATAAACAAAAAGTTATTACAGATTAAAAGTTAAATGATAAAATATAGCTCAACAATAGCTTACAGGGTAAAGATAATAATATAATACACAATAATAATAATAATGAATCTAAGTTATAATGAGATGGATAAAAATATTATCAAACAATATTGGTATAAATAATTTAAATCAGATACTAGATTATATACTTAATTGTTACTATACAGTATACATTCAATGAAATTTACAATTTTAATAATTGTTCACATGTTTAGCATGCACCTGGAGTTCCAAAAGTCTTAGTTGGCAATCGCTTGCATTTGGCATTTAAAAGACAAGTCAGTGTCAAAGAAGCAGAATCCTATGCCTCAAAACATCATATGACTTTGTTTGAAGTCAGTCCACTCTGTGACTTCAACATCAGAGAAAGTTTTAGTGAATTAGCAAGGCGAGCATTACATAGAAATGGAATGGAAAGACTTTTGCGATCAAACAAAGGTATAATTTGTTTTAATATTGAAAATACTATATCTATATCAAAATTATGTTATGTTTTGAATTTTAAAATCATTAATTTTTTTGTTTTAACTTTAGTGTTAAGCCTCCAAGAGTTATGTTGCCGTGCTATTGTAGCAAGGACTACTCAGTATGGTATAAACCAGTTGCCTCTACCTGTAACAATTAAGTCACACTTAAAGTCATATGCATTGACTAGTTTCTCAACTTTATCTATGTCATTACCACGTAATTCAGCGTCCAAAAAAATTAAATTGCCTTCCAACAATACGGGTGTATCACGACAACATGGTCACCCTGCACATTCTCTATCGCATCATCATCATTTGAAAAATACACCATTGAGCATTTCAACATCGTACATTACAAGGAACTCTTGTACAATATCATAACATTAGTAATACGCCCACTGATATGATTTTATTTTAAAATGTTTAGTAAGTGTATATTTTATGTTAAACAATGCATAGTATGTAATTTTTTATTTGATCTGTATTAAGACAATTAATTTTTTTGATCCGAAAGTAAGTTAACATAACTATTAAGATAAATTGTGTAAATCAGTATGATATTTTATTGATTATTACTCGGCAAGAAGCAATAATATTGTAAAACTGTGTGGTTGTTTATTAGAGGTACTTTAATCATCTGATGACTGTATTTATCAGTGAACATGACGTGTAAATAACAAAAGTATGTAACTCGCATCTTTAGTCATTTTATTTTTGCATTTGTGAATTCTAACTATTTTTTTCTTTTGTAACTGTTTTCGATGATTTTTTTATTATTACTATTATTTTATATGATTATTTTTATTATTGTTTATGAAAAATTATGACAACAATTATTTTAATACTTTTAACATTGATAAATAAACGTTGAAGTCATCATTCCTATAATATTTAATTCATTATTGTTAACATTATTTTCATATTTACAATTCACCTATAACCTGTATACTATCTTGTAAAATAGTACTAATTAAAATTGTGCAAAATTTGAATGCCACTCTTTAATAATTTAAGTATACCGTAATATATCTAAAAATAAAATGTCAAAAACAGAAAAAATGCACTCTAAACAATAAAAAAGTATCCCATTACCAGTATAAAGCATAAAAACACTAATTTTAGTATTTCTATTTAGATTTAATTTACATAAATTAGGGCTGTTGATATATTTCATTGTTAAACTCTGGCTATTTCACAGTAAGTAAATAAGTGTATGAAGTAAATTTATCCAAAAATAAAAGCTCACAATTTCTTTAAAATAACTAGAAATTAAAAACAAAATATAACTAAAACTACAAATTATTTTTAATTATTTCAAATGTATGACTACTGACTAGATATATTTTAATATAATGTAGTCATAATATATAATGCAAATAACAAATTACAAATTGTTGGTTAATTTTAATTGATTATGAATATTGGAGAAATTATGTATTCTCACAGCTATAATAATGCCTGTATATGTATTATATTTGGCTGCTTAATATTATACATTTACCTACTATTATAAAAGTAATCAATCTAATAATAAGGTATATATATATGACAATTTTATTTAAGTATAATTTCCAATTTGAAAAAATCTGAAGTTGCTCTACTGTATAGTAGATAGCAGGTGTCTTAACTCTTTATAGAGTAGAGCATTTTGGATATTTCAGATTATTTTGTTAATGATAAATCATACCTATTGCATAGTATTAGTGCATAGATATGAAAAACGATTGAGCGGAGACTATTTGTCACAAAAGCCTCTTGTTTCTAAAGGTATTTTATAATAATTTAAAATTATAATATTATATTCCTATAAGTTTTAGATTCTGAGCTTAGCAATGCATTGATTTTACAATGATGTGTGTTATTTTAGTTATTTTGCTGTACTTGTTACTAATTTTGCTAATTTAAAAATATTCGTGGGTAGTGGGTACATGAAACTATGAAAGAGTGTATTTTATTCTATATACCTAGTACCTACACGACAATGACATTTTAAAATGTATTTTTTTTGCCATAGATGAATTTAAGCTACTGTTTTACTAATGCCTAATAGTAAAATAAATTACTTTAATCACAATAATTATATCATTAAATATACTTAGTACGTATTTACTATTTACATAGTAATATTATAGACGGACAGATAGTGTTGGCTCAAAATCGTTTTTCGTATACTATGATTTTATATTTATATAATTGAATTCAAATTCAATACCATAAATTACTGTGACACACTTGTTTACTACTGTAGAGTGACTTCCACTTACCCTCTTTTTTTTATTTTTATTTTAGAACCCAGTAGTAAGTAGGTACTGTAGGTAAAATAATATTATTTTATTGAGTTTTGCTATTTTTATAGCAATTTCAACTGAATAATAATATTTATAACTTAATTTTAAAATTAAGTGATCACAGAAAATATTGCCTTATAAAAATGTGTAAAAACAGTGTATTTTATTAATTTGTTGAATTTAGATTTTTCTTCTTCGATAGTTACAAAATATTAAATAACAATAATTATTTACGTAATTTTTTATTTACCTACTATAAAAACAACTCTATAGTTGTTTTGTTTTCAAAGTAATAATAAGAAATTTACAAATAGGTAACAATTTTATTTTTAATTCGCGTACCCACCTACCTTAAGAAATCAAATAAATATATATATCCTAGTTTAATATTATTTAAAGCTAATCCAAAAGTTAAGCAATACTTGTCAATTGAGTAGTTTAAATTTTAATACGGATATGAGAGTAGGTACCTATATCGTATAATATTATGTATTATCCCGAGTAACAATTTTGGTGCACATTGGGTGCCCTACATCAATTTTTAGGTTTTTGTTACCGTGCTATAACGGTGCACAGCACTGTGTTTTTGATCAAAATTAATACCGATTTTTTACATGGGAAGCACCGTGCCGATAGAACTCAATAGTCGGTTCAGGAACCGTTTTAGCGTGCAACTAAAATTATAGTTCATTTGTCAGACTAGAGTCGGTGTTCTAACCGTGCGAGAGTGAACAAAGGTACAGTGCCGTAACCGTGTAGGAGTGTTGAAAAATACCGTGCACATACCGTGACAAAAATAAACAAAAAACGTAAAAACACGCAAATTTTTTTTTGCGAGATGCCGAATTCGAACCAGGATCCCCTAATAACCTATGCGTTGGTAATCCTAATTCCTACCTACCGGGCCACTATCTTAGATATGTTTGTGTGGCGATTCTATAGTATTTAAATCTTTTTGATCATTGTTATTTAAATAACATTAAACAGTTTATATTATAAAATGTTACATTTAAGTATATTTAAATTTCTTAAAACTCAAATATATCCATATTTAAAAAAAAAAATAAAAAATTTGTATGTTATAAAAAAAATAGGTACATTATTAAAACAATATTAAAATTTTGATGTAGAACATTTTATAATATTATGTAAGACAAAAATCTAAGCATAAACATTCAACATGTTATTATAATTAATAAAAAAGATGCTCTGCTGTACAGTAGGTTACAAGTGGGTCACTGTATAATGGATGATATTAAATTTGAATTCAACGATATATTATCATTGTATAAGAAAAACGATTCTGAGCGAAGGCGGTATGTCAGTATGTCAGGTATAAGACATATTATAAACATTTCTATGGTATTATAAAAAAAAATGACCTATAATAGGTACCTATAATAAATTCCAAATTAAACATATCACTATATCCATTAGGTACTTATAACGCGTTATACATCAACAAAAACCGTGATACTATCATAGATATATAATAGTACACTTTAGAAAATCAAGTACCCACGAATAATATAATTCAATCACAACAAAATAACTAAAATAGTTATTCAAGGTTTTTTAATATGTAATTTCGTCCAAATTTGAATTTAAAATGTCTGTAAAAAATAACTGTGTTCATATATTTTTTAGATTTTTTGGTTATAGTATGAACTATTTATGAGAACCTTTGTTTAAAATTTGCAATCCTTAGCTATAAAAACTGAACATTTTATAATTTATTAATTACAATGATTGATAATTTTCGAGATTTTGATAAATTTTGTCAAATTTCGATCTTTAAATGCTAATAAAAAAAAATTGTGGCTATGTATTTTTAATATTTTTCGATTGCTATTGTAACAATATATCAGGAGCCTTGTATTAAATTTTTACACTTTTTGGCCAAACAGATAAAACTTTATTGATATTTATAGAAAAAAAAACTAAAAAAATTGAAAACTGAAAATGTCCGTAAAAAGCTCAAAAACAGTCAAAATATTTTCAAAATTGTATGGTCTATAGGAAATGCTAATATAAATATTCAGTGAAATTTTCATGTATCTACAATAATTCGTTTTTGAATTACAACAAAATAAGGAAATCGCTACATGAAAAATCGAGTGAATATCCAATGTTGTAAAAATTTGAATTTAAAACGCTCATAAAAATTTAATTTGACTTTCTTATAGAAATTTTTTTTTTGATAAAGGTAGACAAACTTATGAGGAATCTTGTATTACATTTTAAAACCTTAGATTTAAAAAGAAACATTTTTACGAATTCTTAACTCAAAATAATTTGCTAATTTTCGTGATTTTTCCATATTTTGTCAATTTTTGAACTTTAAATGCTTATAAAAAAAAACTGTGACTAACGATTTTTAATATTTTTCATCTGCCTTTGAAACAATATACTAGGAGCCTTCTATTAAATTTTCAAGTTATTTTAACTAACAAATAAAATTTTATTGATATTTCTAGAAAAAAAAATAAAAAAAATGAAAAATGAAAATGTCCCTAAACAGTACAAAATAAATCAAAATATTTTGAAAATGTTATCGTGTATAGAAAATGCAAATATAAACAACCAGTGAAAATTTCATGTATCTACGGTCATTTGTTTTAAAGTTACACCAAAAACCAAATTCAATTTTCTGAAAACTCGATTTTGCGTAAAAATTCCCGTTTTTCCTTAATTTTTCTTTTGTTTTTCTTGGCGCTTTTGAAAAGTACTGGGAATTTTAAATTTTGACCTCCTCAATACACCAATGATATTCACTTTCCAATCGAACAAGATACTGAAGTCGAAAATCGAAGCATTATTTCAACTACTTATCGTGTACACAGACACAAAAAAAACAAAAAAAAAAAACACACATCATTGTAAAATCAATACATTCATCGTTTCACTCAGAATCTAAAAGAACATATTATTATAAATTAGATAATATATTTAATTGTACATTTGTATTAAAACTTTTAATAAAAAAATAAGTACCTATATTATTATCACAATATTAAGATTTTAATAAAGAACATAATAATTATTAAATATTATTATAATTATTATAATTAATAAAAAAGAACATATTATTAT